GTGACCCCATCACAAAGCATTGTATTTGCTATCAAATGTGGATGGAAAATTTGATACAGCGATACCTAGGCAATGGGGAGAGCAATTGTGGTGAGTTGGGAAGAACTCAATGATGTTTCCCAGGAGTAACCTATGTCTGTTAAGGTGTTATATTAATATTGATAGTGCACTGCAGAAGGAAATAGATGTCTTGTGGTAATAAAGTCTATTAAATCAAGAATTTCTCAAGAGTGGTATGAGGATTCCTGCCCTTGAACTTAATGACCTCAATCCTCCCAAGCCCATTTTTCATATTTACATTCCAACATTAGACGCAAGTAGGTCATGGGGTTTGCACCACAGTGACATAATCTGGAGTTATTTTTGGAGGATGGGCAGCTATAATTTATTTTGTTTAATAAATGAAATGTTTTTTCTACGTGCCCTGCCCTGCCTTGCCTCTCCTCGTAGATACCCAAATGGGTCCTTTGATTCTAACTTCAAATGTTCCGATTTTGTCTTCTAGAATGGAGTATACTCTACGTATCAGCATCCGCTTTCATTGGAATTGCATTGGTGGTTGGGTTAATTTGGCTTTGCATCTGCTGTTGCAAAAGGTAATATTCCTCTATTCAGTTTAAACCAAGGATGAGGAAAGTCAGAGCATTTTTTAAAAATAAATAAATGTTGTTAGCAGCTGGCAATGTGATAAAATTATGTCATGCAAATGGTGGCCCTGATTTTCTTAGTTTCTTTCTTGCTTTCTTTTTTGTAATAGCTCATGTAGCATTAAATCGATCCAAAGGCTTATATGGCAATTTGAGATTGCTGTGAAATTAACAATGCTTATGTTTGATAATTTGCTACTACTTGTAGTAATGTAACTAGGGCGAGCTTTGGGGCCACCACCACCCCCCAATAGAAAAAATTGCAAGTTTGGGCTGTAGGCTGCCCATCTTTGGTTTCAGATGCTCACTAACACACATTAGACAAGACATATTTAGTTAAAAAGATGTTTCAAAAGGATAGGACTATCCGCTCTTTAATCATTCTATGGATTTGGAAAGTTACTGAAGTTGTTGCAAGTGAGGCATCCTGGCCAGCTAATTTCAACACATCTTAAAGAATCTGATGAGAGAAGATAATTTAAATGTTATCTCTCCCCTATCTTTATTTGTCATTACTCATAATACGGTAGACTAAACAAAATCTGCAATAAGCTATTTAGCTGGATCACATATCACATCAAGCTATGGTATGATTTGCCCTGGCTTTTAAATGCTAAACCCCCATTATCAACCATGTCTTATAAAACACATTGGTTGCTTCCACAAAGAGCCACAGCCAATTCAACTAGTTTTATGTCTGTGAACAGGGTGAACCCAATCCTTTTGGGCTATGACCATCATACTCTAGACACTCCTATAGACTTGGTTATTTGTAAACGAACAGGATTATGCTGGTGTGGTCATATCTCTAGGGCAGCTGCATTTGCCAAAGGACATGAATAGCAGTTTATGAATGAGGCCCATGAACAAAGATTTGCATTATGAGGAAGTTGGTTTCTCAAAACCTAATCAATTCTCTTTAATTCCTAGCCAAAAGAGGACCAAAATAAGAAAAAAAATGAAATATACAATTTTGGACAACATAGATGATCAGGAAAGAATGGAGCTCAGGCCCAAATATGGTATGATGTTTCTTTCTTGCTTTCTTTTTTCATTCCATAAAATAAAGAAGGATTATGATTTTACTATTGAGGGGGGAATTGCACTTGATGGAACAAGTTGGTAATAAAAATTCAGGCCATAAAAATTTAGTAATATTAGAAAACCATAAAGATCTTCTGCATTTTTCACAGATAATCACTGTGAAAAACCCCCACTGATTTTATAAATTTATTTCAATCACTTTGAATCTGTCTCCACTAAAGTTTAATAACTTTAATTTATTAAAATTAAATTTGTTTTAATTTAACTGTTTAATTTGTTTTAATTTAACTGTTCCTATTGGGTGATCCTTTTGACTGTTGTTAATTAATTATTGCCATTAATTTATATATCATTTTGGACTGAAATCATTATTTCTATGGAGACAGTTGCTTGATTTACAGATTGCATTCAGTCATAATGCAGTGGTTTTATTTTTGAATCTGTCTATGAATTCAGCCAAACAATTGATTAAAACAAAACCTGACTTAGAGACTAGTTGAACATCATATGGTTAGAAAGATGTCCTAACAGGACTGCAATGCAACTGTAATCCTAATCATCACACAATAAATCCTTCTTTCCACACAGGTATAAAACACAGAAGCACTGAACACAATTCCAGTTTGATGGTTTCAGAATCTGAGTTTGAGAGTGACCAGGACACCATATTTAGCAGAGAGAAGGTTGAAAGAGAAAACTCCAGAAACCTCATGAATAGTGACATGAAAAATGGGGTCTCCTTCAGCTACAGCTCAAAGGATAGATAAATCGATGCACTGCTTTGTTAGGAAAATGGTACTTTAGTGCACTAAAGACTGGATAGGTCTCTATTTTCCTAAAGTCTGAAATGGGAAGACAGACTCATACATTTCCAGCATGGAAAAGGAGGAAGACCATGGATATTTTGCTCTGTTCTTCAAGCAGCAGCTTTTAATTTGCCAGAGTTTTTCAAGCCTGTTTACTAGACATGGCATTTACATATGTCTCATAGACATCTAAAAGTTTACAATTAAAATCTTAGCCAAGGCTCTTACATTACAAGATCATAGAGGAAAACTTCCTTGTATTAGTCTCCTTAGAACAGAGTGACTTTGTCTGTTATAGGAAGCCAATTCTATCAATAGGGGAATTTATCAGAGTTATTAAAACTGACATGTAGTCAAAACATTTCTCTTAGCTTTTATTTGCTAAACAAATGAGAGGGTATGAGTGTGGGAATGAATAGGTATCAAGTTATATATCTGCTAAACTCTGCTTCGAGAATATTGTGTTAAACATAAATTGTATTCAGATTTATGACAGGCTGAGAATTGGCCCTGCCTTGCCTGAGTTTAAGAAAGTAAAATAGTTGCTAAATAAAACATACAACTATTGATTAGTAGTAATAGTGCAAAATAAGATGAATATATGGAAGGAATATATATCCAGATATGAATATGTTTTGGAAGGAATAAAAATCTTGCTTCTTGTCAACCTGTGGGAGTGAGCACACAGCTTGTTTTACCTCCCCGTTGGATGCAACAATTGGAAAACTCCAATGTCAAACTATCATTCTATCTAGAGGCTCAGTAAAATATAATCTGGGATAATAATCTAGTATTTTCCTTAAGTGGTTACCATAAAAATATTCTTAACTTTTTAAGGTTTGAATTAGCTGTTGAATAATTTCTTAGGGATTGTATCATGTAATCTAAACTTGTGTGAAATTATTTACATAAATAGGATTATACATGAAGCCAATAGCAGACCTGTGTGCATCTACATTCTGTACATAAACAAGATTACATGCCAAGTGTTTTATTGGATATGAATAATGGTGAATGGAAAAGTATCTTAAATGCATCTATTGGCTAATAGAAGCACACATCTCAAGCAAAAAAAATGAGATTGAATTATTCTTCACATTAAGTGATCACATATGTTATATGTAACATCAATTTCCTCAAAATCGAGATGAGCTATAGGAACTTCTAAACTAAACTTTGTAACTGGAAGGTTTACAGAAACTATTTTAGCATCAACATCTATTCTAATAAAAGTGTGTAGTTCCCCCCTCCCAGTTTTTTCTCTGTGGTTTATGAAAACATAACAAAGAAGAAATAGTACCGCAAAGCAAATTTGACAATAAATGTAAACATCCAACTTTTATTATATTAGCAATTCTTCGTTAACCTCCATATGTGGCAAACAAAAATGTAGGCAAAAAGTTGATTATGTAATTAAAAAAAATTCAAGTGCTCCCTTATATGAAACATGTATAGCATTTTTAATGACAAATTTAAAAGCCAAAATTTGATACATTATCAAACAGATTCAACATTTGAGACATTTCCTTGAAATTAAGATATATAATAGATCATTACATTATTCATGTGTGCTGTAATCTAATAGTTTAAAATGTCTTCCATACCCCTAAATGGCACAGTATTTCATTTATGAAATATTCCATTTGCTAACCTATGTATCAAACATAGTTGGCTTCTGCTCTGTTTTTAAGGAAAGAGTATGAATGTTACAAGTGGTACTTTTAGGGAACTGCCACAATCTGAATTTTTCTAGTTCTAGTTGTTAAGCAAAAATAATGTCCAGTGGTGAGAGTTGATTTAAAACAAGCACTCTGTATTATCAAACTCTGTGCTGTTCAGAAGATTATGCAGACAGACCACTCCTGAAACCTGGTGTTGACTCTCAGAAGTACATGTGTTATATAGCAGAGTGGTTTAAGGCCCAAGGAGAAACACTTTTAATTCCCCCCCCCGCCCCCCCCCAAAGCATGGAACAAAAAAGGAATACAACCAGAGGTGGGATGCAAATATTTTTACTGGTTCTGTGGGTGTGGCCAGTTGGGCGTGGCCATATGACTTGGTGGGTGTGGCTTCTTTTTTTTTTTTTTTGGCGCCCCCCCCCCCCCCCGCATGCTTAGCTTTTCTTGCCTCCTGGGCCACAGGGAAGCCTCCTGGGAGCCCGTTTTTCCTTCCAGGAGGCTTCCCTGAGGCCCAGGAGGCAAAAAACAGAGCATTGGGGGAGCACGCTATGCCCCCCCACACACGGCCATTTTTGCCTTCTGGGTAGCAGTAAGACAGTGAGAGGGATCCTGGCACAGCTAACAATCGGAACAGCTGATTATCGGGAGGAAAACAAGAAATACCAGTTCAGCCGAACCGATGTTTTTTTATTACCGGTTTGGCCGAACGGTAGCATTTTTTTTACTATCGGTTCGATAGTAAACAGGTAGTAAACTGATAGAACTGGTAGAGTACCACCACTGAATACAACATTTCAATGCAATTTGGACACATAAAGTACATGTTCAGTATAATGCAGCATTGTGTCAGTTCCATCCTAATTTTCCCATCTCACTTAAAAAATAATATATTACAAAAGAGAATAATAAACCACTCAGTTTAATTCTGCAGGAGCCAAATGTTTCATCCATAGAGTACTGACAAGTTTCCTATAGCAGCTCATGAATATGTATCAATGAAACCTAACTACTTATGTAGTTATTGGTCCCCAGCAGGTCTGAAAGAATCTATTACGTATATTAATATTTATTGTTACAATTGGTTTTTATTACACTGTCTCATAAAATCTATATTTTTTCTGCCAAATCAAGAGTCTCTGAAGACTATGTACATTATAATTTGGCAGGAATTATTACTGCCCATTAATCTGTACTACTGCAAAACTTTACCACCGGCTACAAATTGCAAATCTCTTCTTAAATAAGTCTAGCCCTATTGACCAATAGGATATTAGAAATGAATGTATATCCACAAGGACACCCATATTTCAGACGACAGCTAAAGAACTATAAAAATTGGATTGCTACCCAATTAATTAAAAAACAAAGTATTAGAAAAAAGAGTAAAATCCAAAATTTGGCACAAATATTTAAGATTCCATCATTTTTATAACCCTCTACATGTGAAAAAAAAATGAGCAGAAATGCTGCCTTATATGTTCCAAAAAAATCAATAGTTTTCCAAATTCTTCCAAATATCAACAGCAAATAGGATTTCTTTCCACATTAAGATTAAGATAGATAATATTTTTATGTAATTATGAAGAACTATTTTATATCTATTGACATGATTTCAAGTACAGACATCTCTATATGTAAACCTGATCACAGTTATTTTATGAAAAAAAAAATCCAAGTTAACTTGCTAAAACAAAGACTGAAAGGCCAAAACTAGAGTTGTAATTTGGCTACTGTCCTAACAATGGCTATTATAAACCTCCCAAACAAACATATTTTATTTCTAAGTACTCATCGATACCGTATTTAGACCCTTCTCTCCCTAGCCCCGATTGTTTGACCCCACCAAAGGGACACTCCACAGAAGATAAAATCCCTTCATTAACGCCAACCATGCCAACTTCCAGTTTTTCAGCGACTCTCCAAATCTGGGCTGGGTCTTGAGAATAGAAATAGCCTGCAAGTGTGAATAAAGGAACAATAAGTACAAGTAGTCCTCAATTTACGACCACAGTTGAGCCAAAAATGTATGTTGCTAAAATGAGAAATTTGTTAAGTGAGTTTTACCCCATTTTATGATCTGTTTTTTTGGGGGGCCACATTTGTTAAGTGAATCATTGCAGTTAGCCTAGTAAGACAGATGTGAATCTGACTTCCACATTGACTTTGCTTGTCAGAAGGCCGCAAAAGAAGATCATGTGACCCCTGGGACTTTTTTTTGCCAGAAAAAACGTTACAACCTCTGAGATGCTAATCAAAGTACGTATAAATATGTACCGTTTTTTTCTATCCTACTATTTAAAAGCACATACCTGCTAAACCCACATTGGCTGAATTTGCAATGGCGAGTGCTTCTTCCTCTGTATCAAATCTGCAAAAGTGGAAATATGACATCATTGGGGTGAAAAAAATAATAATTTGTCCTAAAATTAAAGAAGCACACTGTGATATTTTTATACCCTTGCATAATAGAAACTTCCACAATTCCATATAGGACTATTTGGAAAAGTATACATTTAGATCAGGGGTGTCAAACTCAAAGCCCGGGGACTGGATCCGGCCTATGCGGTGCTTAAATCTGGCCACTCTGGAAACAGCGAAGGACTGGCCTGTGGTGTCATTGCCAGCGAAAACAGAGCTCCGTTTTTCTCTGGCAGAGGGTTGCAGGAGGCCCTCACAGCTGGAAATGGAGCTTGGGAGCCACCACGGGCACCCCTGACATGAGTGATGTCGAGCTGGCCATGCCTATCCTGGCCATGCCCACCCTGGTCCCCTGTGGTCAAACACAACCCTGACGCGGCCCTCAATGAAATCAAGTTTGATACCCGTGATGTAGATGAACTTATTTTGGAAAAGATCTGAAAAAATAGTGTGCCAACAAGTGACTGAAAGAATATCTATCTCAGAAACACACATACACATGCACACACAAAATGGGATAACAATAACCCAGTTTCCCTTCTAGTATGTTTTGTGGCAAAATAATATGTGTAATGCTTCACTGAGTTTAGCTCCTCAGAGTCTTTGAAAGTCAGGCAGAATACAAGTCTAATAATATACTATTATTCATTGAGGAAGATTTCCAATAGCAGTTTAATGATCTGAGATGATTACCTAGTCATCTGTTTGAAATGCTTAATGACTTACTTGATAACTGGAGCCAAAGGGCCAAAAGTCTCTTCTTGGGTACATAACATACTTGTTGACACATTGCAAAGCAGAGTTGGCTCAAAGAAATTTTTCCCAAAGCTGTGCCTTTTTCCTCCAGTAACTATGGATGCTCCTTGGGACACAGCGTCATCGATGTGACTTTCCACCTAAGAACACATGAAATGTAGGACAAACTCCTATAAGCCAAAGTAAAATGTTGCAATAAATATTACCATATGACAGCAAACAATGAACATGACTTCGGGATGCATTTTGACCCTCATTTCTTTCATAAACAATTCTTACTTTTTCTACAGCTCTTTCATTAATTAATGGCCCTTGGGTAGTGCCTTCATCAAATCCATGGCCAATACGTAGTTCTCTCTGAATGGTTTGGGCAAACTTCTTGACAAATTCATCGTGGATCCCTTTCTGAACCAAGAAGCGGTTTGCACATACACAGGTCTGGAAGGTAAAGAAGTTTGAGTCTCTGTGAACAACAGATGAAATATCTAGAAATTAGAATTATACCTCTCTTCCCCATTCAGCCTTAGTGCATCTGTTATATATTTGCCATCCGTTATATATTTGCAGCTGTTACATATTTGCCATCCGAAATATGGAACCCATTTAATTATTATGAGTTGTAAGCCTAGGCACCTTGGGAAGGAGAAGCTCACAGATAGTAATTTATATGTTTTGTTAAAGTTTCTATGTAATTCTTTCATATGCTTATTCAAAAGGTGCTACTTCAGCATATCATTCTTATATTATAGCTATTATAATAGTGCAGATCAGCATTTCCCAACTGGGACTCTGCCAAATATGTCAAAATTGGCAGCGCCACATATAGGTTATTAAGATCTTCTAATTTCTTAATACTCTGGGTCAATTTTTCTCCTAAAGTCAAATTCTAAGCCCTCAATAATTTTTACCTTAACAATTCTAGGCTGTAATCTCCAAAGAAGATGCAGATAATAGGAAAATTATCACAATTCCATGCAACAGAAATGTATTGTTTTTAATGAACAAAAGAAAGCAAAAGGATTTCTCAGTTTTTAAAAATTATTTCATTGATAAAATGTAGGGGGAGAGTTGAACTGCACTTGGAAGCAATCAATGCAGCTCATGGAACAGTGATGTAACATTGACCACCCTACAGCCTTTAGGAACTGCCTGCGTTGCCACATTTTACACTAATTGTAGCTTCCAAATACTCTTCAAGAGTATAGGTGTCTCTTCAAAAGTATAGGTGTGCCATTAAGATCCTAGTGAAAAAATTTTACTCATTGCCATTACTGATGGATTTTTCCTCAAATATAAGATGCAATCAAAACTTAACAATGTTTTATGTAGCTGCATATGCATAGGAGGAAAAATGGTTCCATAGGATTAAACAAGCTCACCTGCCCTGAATTTCTGTATTTAGATATTAAAGCTCCAGCAACTGCTTTATCTACATCAGCACTGTCAAAGACTATGAACGGAGCATGTCCTCCGAGCTCCATGGAAACCCGCTTCACTGTGCCAGCAGCATGGCGTAGCAATATCTGTAACAGCAGACACAGAAAGCTAATTACTCTTAAGGAGAATATAAATGCAATGTTAAACTGTACAGGGAAAAAAAAAAGACAATTTTCTTAAATACACATCCATTTAAACCTTGGATACTCCAGTATTAATTTTACTTTATATCTCATATGCTGTGCTTGTATGTATTTGAATGCCTTAACTGCACCAATCCTATTAGATTAGAAAGGCTTGATTCATTGCTCTCAAATAAGAAGACTTATCTGAAACCTTCCAGATGTGCCAAGTTTATAGCACCCAGGATCCTAAACTACTGAAAATTCTACGTTGTGTAGTTTGAGGACTATTCAGGATGGGAAAAGTGGTCTAGATCAAAGTTTGTCAAACGGTTACATGGAGGCTTAGGGTTCTGCAAAAGCTCAGTGGTGTTCTATGAGACACCCCCCCCCCCACAAAAAAAGTTTGCTTGAGCCCAGCCAACGTTCTGTCACTAAATCTTTGCCTTTTGATCAGAGAAATTCTAGTTGTTGTTTTTAATAATTCTAGATTAAAAGTTTTTTTGAAAACCTCAGCTTGTCAATCAACAGTGATTATGTTTCTTAAAGGTGGAGTTTAAAATAATGAGTTTGAATACATGGATTCTGAAAATGTTTTAAGGCAAATATTCAAAGCCACAACTTAGGTGCTCCAAAGCAGGGGTCTTCAATCTTGGCAATTTTAAGACTTGTGGACTTCAACTCCCAGAATTCCTCAGCCAGCTTTGCTTTTCTGGAGGTTGAAGCTTTTCTGGGAGTTGAAGTCCACAAGTCTTAAAGTTGCCAAGGTTGGAGACTCCTGCTCCAAATATTATCAAAGGGTTAAATGAAGTCATGAATGTTCTCCATCCGCTTGTCTAGCAGTGGCTTTAGGAGGCATTTATACTTTCCTCTACTTATTTCTGCTTTCCACTCATGCTATGTCAGTGCATGCAGATGTGGGCTGCAGGGGTGGGATTCAACATTTTTAACAACCGGTTCTGTGGGCATGGCTTAGTTGGTGGGCGTGGCTTGGTGTTCATGTGACTGGGTGGACATGGCTTGGTGTTCATGTTATTGGCTGGATGTGGCCAACTCAATATCACTCACATCGAGGCACACATCTCCTCTCCTGGCTTCTCATGACTGTGGGGATGCTACAACAGTCGTAAGTGTGAAAAATGGTCATAAGTCACTTTTCAGTGCCATTTGTAACTTTGAATGGTCACTCCACACAAGCAAAGTACCAGCAAAGGAGGGGAAAAAAACTCCAGAGAAGTTCCTGAGACAGGAAGTCTAGTCCTGCCAAGAATGTAATAAGAGTTAACGGAGATGCAGTTTCTGTAAGCAACACCAGAATGTTTCCTTCCTGCCTTCCTTACAGGATTAGGCCAGTAACTTCTTCTAACAACCGGTTCTCTGAACTGCTTAGAATGTTAACAACCGGTTCTAGCAAATAGGTGTGAACTGGTAGAATCCCACCCCTGGTGGGACGGGAAACAAAGGGCAGGGGGCATGTGCTATACACATGCACATGGATTATACACAATCCAGTGTTTCTCAACCTCAGCAACTTTTAAGCTATGTAAACTTTAACTTAGAAGACTTATTAACACCCCTGAATTTAAAATTATTCCCTTAACACTTTTCCTCCCAAATGGGTAATTTTTTTCATGTGAAAAAAGCTGGATGGCCTAGAGCAGATTTCAATGACTTGATGTTTCTCGTATCTGTGGAAACTCCCAGTCTCTAGGCAACAATACCCATGGCTTTGAAGTCTGCAAGAGGGGGCAGGTGAAGGAAATGGGCATTGTGGCTTTGCTATAAAATATCCACTTTCTATATTCTCTTGAGCAGACTTGAGACTCAACTATGAATAGTAGATGCTCTGACGTCACAGTGTATGCTTTCATCATCATGGCTACCTGTGAACATCTATGGTGCCCTAGTCAAGGATGCTGCGAAGGTTCATTGCATCTGGAGAACAGCAAGCTAAGGACAACAGGTAGGCCAGGGGCATATAGAAAGGATGACCGTCCTTGAAGAATGAACAGATTCTACAAACTTTCCCAAGACAGCTGAATTATGGAAATTGTTAAAATGTATTTAAACAAATATCAGCATTATTCCAAAAATGCTTTAGTCACAACTTTGTGAAGATTTAAAAAACCTAGTGTATAAAAGTTTAAACGCATGAATATGCATACCTTTCCTGTAGCTGTTGAGCCAGTAAATGAGATTTTAGCTACCAAGGAATGAGTACAGAGCACCTCACCAACTGCTGCTGCCTGCTGTCTGGAACATGGAACAACATTATATACCCCCGCAGGGATTCCAGCCTGATTTGCAAGCTGCGGTGAGAAATAATTGGTGAGAAGAGTCATATATTTGGATACTTGCATAAAATAATGTATCCTGTATTAAAATATTGTCATAGCTGCATCCAACAATTCATATTCAAGAATTTTATGCTAAAAATATCTCTGACATATCGTATTATTGCTTTTTTATTGAATCTGTATTGAGTTTTTATCCTTATAAGCAGCCTAGACTCTAGTCACTGAAGCAAGTTGGACAGTCATATAAATTTTCATTCATTCATTCATTTATTCATTCATTCATTCCATTCCATTCCATTCCATTCATTCATTCATAAACAAACAAACAAACATCAATACAAAAATTTTACCTCGGCAAGTGCTAGGGCAGATAAAGGTGTGTCTTCAGCTGGCTTCACTACTACTGTACAACCAGCTGCCAAAGCAGCACCTACTTTTCGGGTAATCATAGCACTTGGAAAATTCCACTGTAGTAAAAAGATACACACAAGTTTAATATCGACAGAATTGGGGGCACACTAAAATAACTGGCAAGTCCTGAAATTTCTAGCCAAAAATAATATCCAGAGCAAGATAATAAATGTATTCCTCCTCCTATTGGAAGTAATAATATTCTTGAGATCATTGGCTATTTTGTCCTGCATAGTAGCTCCCACTTTTTACTCTTATTAATGACACGTGAAAGCAGATTCCAAAATATCTCCAAATGGACCTGTTTGAAAAAGTGAAAGATTTCTGGGTGTGGCATGTTAGGTACGTTTAAAGGAAGTCAAACAGAATCTGATTCTAAACTCTCTTTAAGCATACAAGTAGTCCTTGACTTACGACCATAACTGAGCTGAACATTTCTGTTGTTAAGCAAGGCAGTTAAGTGAGTTTTGCTGCATTTTACTTTTTTTTTTTGCCCCAGTCGCTAAGTGAATCATGACAGTTGTTAAATGAATTGTGTGGTCATTAAATGACTCTGATTCCACCCACTGATTTTGTTTGTCAGAAGCTGGCTGGGATAAGTTACAATCACGTGTCCCTGGGACAATGCAAGCACCATAAATACAGGCCAGTTGCCTAGCGGCCAAATTTTGATCGCGTGAGCATGGAATGCTGCAAAGTACAAAAACTGATACATCGCTTTTTTCCAGTGCTGTTGCAACATTAAACATTCACTAAAGGAATGTTTTTTAAAAGTCAAGGACTATTTACATTTACATTCATGTGGGAAGTACAAAGTTCTGAATTGAACAGAAATCGGTGTAAGCTGAATCGGTCTTTATTTGAATTCATTGCCTCATATCTTCTGATTATTGCGCACCCTGTAATTTAAACCCTGAACAGCTGGAATGAGATCATCTGAGAGTTGCCAGAGATTCTAAGTTTTAAGGGTCAGTCTCCATTCTCTCTGCCACTAAATATTTGTTTTTAAAGTACAAAAACTAGAGCCTTTTCTGTGGAAGCACCATGTTTCTGGAATCCCCTTCCTCTCTTTAAGGGGGGATCTCCAATTCGATTTCAACAAAGCAGCCAACTCACTGGTGTAATGATGGCAGCGACTCCCACAGGCTGCTTCAACACAAGGAGTCTCCTGTTTTTTGCTGAAGCTGGGATAATATCACCATAAATACGCCGGGCTTCTTCAGCAAACCATTCCAAGAAAGAAGCCGAATACAAGATTTCCCCTTCTGCTTCCTTCAGTGGTTTTCCCTGTGAACAAATAAACGAACCCAGTAAAACATCTCTTCTTAAAAAAATAATTATTAATACTTTTCATTCCTTTGGGCCTTTATTTAAAAATGTTTATTTTTATTGTTGTCCTCCATATGATCAACATGGCACATACTTTAAATAGAGGGTGTTCCCACCACCCCTTTTTTTCCTTCTTCTCTATATTGGAGTAGTTACTTGTCCATTTATAAATAACAGGGTTTTGATGCAAATATTTGGACCAAGTATTCAAGCTTGCATGAAAAAACTTATTTTTTTATTTATAAATAATAGTCAATGCAAAATGGACATTCTTTTCTTCACTATTTATCTTATTAACTTGTCTAATCCTAAAAGTAATAAACAAGCACGTCTGTACCCAATTTCACCTTATATAAGGAAACTTTCTCTCAAGACCTGTGATTCTACACTTTTGCCGGATTTATTATAATTTTTGCATTTAATCTTTAATTTGTAAAATATAAACAAATATAAACAAAATGCCAATATAAATTTAAAAAGTTGAACAAAACAGGCTTTAAATCTAAAATATATGACTGAAACAAGAAAAAGAGGAGGGGGGAAAAAACCCACAGGGCAAAAAATATACCTTTTGCCAAGTTACACAAATCAGAAACATTGATCTTTGTACCATGGGTTCCAAAGACAAGTTCACACATTGTGCAAGCAACAATTTGCTCAGTGAAAATCCAATCAATGAACTGCAAATGGCTGCATTGATACAATACACTAGCCTGAAAACTATGATTTGTAATTTGGAATGAATAGACTTATACATCGCACAAGGCTCAAAGCAATACAATCACATTATAGCTACATAGTATGCAATGAAAGATTGGAGCCCATAAAGTCCTTTGCATTCTCTGAGTTTGTTGTCTTTGCTTGTAGATGTTTCACTACCTGACTAGCCAGGCAACAAAGTGTCTACATGCAAACCACCAAGCTCAAGGAACACAAAGGACTCCATTGTTTAGCCTGAGATAGATAGGTTTGCAAGGAATAACTCTCTAGCAGGGAAAAGGATTAAGCAAGGCATGGCTTTTGTGTGTTGTACAAATCTGGATGATTACCAGGTGGCAGCAAAATGACCACATTTTCATCACATTTTTTAAACCAGATCTTTAATTCTGTTTCCTGGATTCTTGGATAAAAACAGCAAACTCACTTGTTAAACCCACCATGTAATAAAGTTCAGTGCAGGAGGCTTTAACATTTCACCAAGAGTACACAGATAATTTATGTCAGCTATTAGTTTGGAAACATTATACGAAGGTGACACAAAGTGATTACTGGAAGGATATATAGAAATGCATTTTCCATTCCTTTCTTGTAGTGGGAGTCATTTCTTCCACGGGAAAAATCTAAGGGCTTACTTGCAAATTCTGATGGATGCATTCCCAAGTGGTTTCCAGTTTTGATGATGTCATGATGGTTACCTCATTGGATAGTTCTGTGTGACAGATTACCCAGAAAGGCAAGTGATTATTGCTACCTGAACTTATGAAACTAAGCTTTACACAGCCATCAATATATTTCTGGTCCAAGAAGTTTTAGCTACTTATTCCCATTTCTACTAGTCCACCCAGGAGTTTTGAATGTTTTTATCAGTTGCATTTCCTATAACATTCTTCAAGCCCTTATCCATATTCAAACTGAAATTATTTTTTAAATCTTAGTTAACCTGAAATACCCGTAACAAGTGGCCCCTGTTATTTGTGGTTTCTTGTATCTGTAGTTTTGACCCTTTTTGTCTGTTCTGTTACTTTATTTGCTACTTTTTTTTAAGGCTTAGGTCATCTGGTTGCCAAGTTAGAGCTCTCCTTTTATTAGATTGCTGGAAAAATCACAGCTGGGAAACTCTGATCGGAGATAAAAGAATGTGATTGTTTATACCAGGGGTGTCCAGCCTTGGCAACTTTAAGACTTGTGGACTTCAACTCCCAGAATTCCTTTGCCAGCTTTTATCTTTTGCAAGGATCGTGCCAGGCTCCAGACCACACTTTAGGAAGTGCTGACACTGAGAGCAGTTTCAGCCCTGCTAGCTCCCAACATGCCATTGTTAGTTCACTCAGCAAACATATAAGTAACAGCTCTTTGCATCACCTCCCAATTGCCCTATTGGGGGTTTCCTGGCTGCAAGGCCCAGGAGGTTTCTTACAGATGATATTCAGGCTACGCTGCTGTTCCTATTTTCTTTTCTACTTATTCAAGCAATATATACTGGAGGTGGTTGCTGGATTGGTGGCAGTCTCCACCTCCTCCCCTCTGCTCTCTACTCATCCATCATTTTGGTTATCATATTGATGTATTCTTGTGTTCCCTTTTCATTGTTTATGTTTTATTTTACTTCTGTTCAGTTTACACTCCTTTCATTTTCTTGTTTATAGAATAGAATTCTTTATTGGGCAAGTGTGATTGGACACACAAGGAATTTGTCTTTGGTGTGTATTATCGTAAACTGCATATTATCATAAACTTATATCATAAACTGCCTAGATAGGCGGCAAATACATTTCACAAATAAATATAAAAGAAATGTTAACCTGGCCCCCATACTTCTCTTGTAACATCTATTTATTTCTTAAGCCCTAGATATTGAATCACTCAGCTAACAAAGTTTTATTCAAAACCACTGTATTCAACATTAGAATTAGCTGCTTAGAAGCAATAGGGTATTCACTTTAGCATCACCCTTAATTCAATTTTGACGGCACAGAACAGTAACATGGGCTGGAATCATATAAGACTAAATCAAGATTCAGAGTGTTTGGCAAATACTGCCACTCTCTTAACATGTTGTCTCAACTCAGCCATCATACTATGCTATAATATGGTTTGTTTTGGCTTAATGTATTGTGTGAATACAGCCGCTACATTTTATGAACCAGGCTATATAATTTAGAATATAGTACAAATAGAAGCAAGGATGGACATTCGAATTTCATCTGTTGGTTGCTTTGATCTTTTTTCTAAGCAAAACTATATTCAGCAAGCTAAGTTTCAGGCCTGCAGCCTCAGTGGAAGATTTCCTTTTTTCTTTATACTTACATTTTCTGCTGTAATGATCCTTGCAAGTTCATCTTTATTCTCTATCATCAAATCATACCATTTACGAAGCAAAACCGCTCTATCCTGAATAAAAAATAAAATAGTAGTATAGAAGGATCTTGGTAAAAATAAGTTTGAAAACGAAAGCAAATTTGTCTAATTGTAACCTACAAAGAGCTTATTCAATTTCAATTATTCCAACAAATCCATCAAGTAGATCAAAGTTCAGTCTAATATTATTCTAAAACTAAAATCAGATTTTAATACATCAGCCACATAGTCAAACATTCAGTAGCTATGTTTTATAGTATCCCAACCTGTAGTTAATTTAAGCATAGGTTACTCAGTTAATGATAATTAATGACTGAATTTTCATGACTCACTGCATGAGCTAAGTTTGTATCACAAGCAATTTGTGATTAAAAAGTCATTGATTAGTTTATAGTACAGTGGATCTACTGTACTTAGAAACACAGGCTAAGTGGGGCCTGAAAAATACAAGGGGTGGAAAGATAGTCCCTGTAAAAAAACTAATAGACAAAATATAAACATTTAAAAAGCAGCCAGGAGAATTCAAAGATATTCAGAAGAAAATACTATGCATATCTCTGCAGAAGTACTGTAAGTCTGACTTAATTCTAAAGAATTTACTCTTGTTTTAGGCTCCAGAATGTAAAAAAAAACGCCAAGGTGTCTACAGGAAGTTCAAATCCTGAAAGGGGACATGCTATAAACTCCGACTCTTTTGTATATTGTGCGATATGAAAGGAGAGTTTGTGGAACATTGTGGTTCAACATTGCTGATAAAAAAAGTCTTTGATCCTACTGTTACTTCTGGAAAGTAGGTGGCTTTTTATTTAGAAATGGGATAAAAATTGAAACTATACAAATATATGAATACATGCTTTAAAAATAAGAATTCATTAAAGCTGAAAACTCTTGTATTCTTCTAATGGGCTTCTGCAGGCTATCCTCACACTATGTACATACTGGAAATATATAAATTAATACACACGGTCCTTTTATCTTTGTACAAAGTACATGTGCCAACTTAGTTAACAAGTAAGCCAAGAAACTGCCATTACAGCAATTTCGTTCACTGAATCTGCAAGGTGAATTTTAATCTACTGGTGAGTATTACATATCTGATTTTTTTAAAAATCCATAATCCAACTACAGGTCCGTATCATTTTATTTGAAGTTGTAGGTGCTCCATCACTGGAGATTTTAAAGAAGAGAATGGACATAGTTGTCTGAAATGGAATAGAGTCTCCTGCTTTGAGCAGGGGTTGGACAAGATCTCCAAAGCCTCTTCAAACTCTGTTCTGTTATTTTCTGAATACAACTAGCATAATTAAAACAAATTTTAACTCTAGATACCAGATATTATTCAGACTGACTACATGGGCATTTGCAGGGCTGATCGGGAGAAATGCAACATGACATCAGCATGTACATCGGCATGCTTTCATCAGATGCTCTGACACAAAGCATAACAGCATTTGTGTACATATAACGAGGAGCTGATGCCTGCACCATTACTTTGGGGGATCTGTGGTTTGCTCTAGAAGCTGCAGATACAACACACTTATTTGAAAGCGTTGCATTTGAATCAACCCGCAAAGAGTCGTTCGGGAAGAGTAGCCAGTGCGGAGCCCATTAGAAGCAAGCACTCTGCACATGTGTAGAAACCCAACTTTTTGAAACAATCCCCGGGCTCTCCGATCACATGCTTCCTGGGAAGCATTTCTTTCCGTATCCTCCCTCCCCAATTTACTTATCGGGGCTTTTCAACCACTGCGCTCCCCCTTGCAAAAACCTCATCTCTCTCCCCCCCCCGCCCCCCTTCCCTTCGCTCACCTTGGCAGAAACTGCGCTCCAAGCAGCGCCGGCTTCGTAGGCGGCCTTCACGGCGGCCTCCGCTTCAGCTACGCCGCAATCCGCTACCTGGAGGAGTTCCGTGCCGGTGGCCGGGTCTCGCACGGGGAAAGTGGCTGCCGCTTGGAGCCAGCGGCCTCCCACGAAGCCTCCGGAGCGGGCCAGGGAAGCGGCCCCAGTGGCGAGGCTTGGGCCGGTACTGCTCAGCCGGCTGGGGCACGGGCTCGCCATAGTCGGCCTGGCCTGTGGCAGGAGCCGAGGGCTGCGGTAGGAGCGGTGGGCCACCAGCAGCGCCCGGAAACGGGGCCACGCAATCCTCGCCGCCATGGTCCTCCCCCCGCCCCGCCGGGACTGAGGGTGGAGCGCGGGGCGGGCGGCAAAGGGCTGATGAGCGTCTCCGAGGAGCGCCGCGACCCTTCGAGCTTCTCTGCTGCTTTAGCAATTGAAGACCGGAGGTTAAAACATGAAAAACGGCTGGGAAATCTCCATAGACATATGAAGAACGGTTACAGGAACTGGGCTTGACTAGTGTAGTGAAGAGAAGGACCAGGGGAGACATGATAGCGGTCTTCCAATATTTGAGGGGCTGCCACAGGGAGGAAGGGGTCAAGCTGTTTTCTAAAGTTCCTGTAGGCGGGACAAGGAATAATGGATTTTGAACAAGGAGAGATTTAACCTAGAAATAAGGAGAATTTTTTCTGACAGTGAGAACAACCAACCAGTGGAACCGCTTGCCTTCAGAAGATGTGGGAGCTCCACCACTGGAGGCTTTCAAGAAGAGATTGGGCTGCTATTTGTCAGAAATGGTGTAGGGTCTCCTGCTGGGGTTGGGAGGTTGGACTAGATGACCTACAAGGCCCCTTCTAACTCTATTATCCTAGAGGAACCATGAAAGCCCATGAATGTTTGCTATGCTCACCTGGAAATAAGAGCCACTGGACTCAGTGGGGTACACACACCTTGATAGAGGTAATGCCATTTACATCGTGACTCTCAGGATGGCATAAACTTTAAAAGTCACCCAGTGGGTCTGATTGTCGGGAAATCTCCCTTTGGGGCTGGCCATTACAGTCACCCAATTGTTTATACGGGATTTAATTATGCTAAGTGGCCATGCCATTGTAATTGAATCAACATCCACCAGTACAGGCAATTTAGGAGGAACCACTTCTGATTGTCATTGGGGATTTGTTGGGTGGAAGTGATTCTCCAAAATCTCTGTTGATTTTAAGAGAAGACAGACTACTGACATGCTATGTGAAGTCTCCTCTTCACTCTTCAGAAGAGTAATACTAATCCAGTGACTTTGGACTTGTTATTGGTTCTCAGTGGAAAGCTGCTAATATTAAGGGAAATCTCCGAGGGGAGATGTGCAATTAAGAAGTATGAAATACAAACAGACAAAAAAAAACCCATAATTCCATATGCTATTTTTAGCTGTCAGAGAAAGAATGCAAAAGGATGGGACACAAATGCAAACATCTTTAAAAAGTACTTTCATGACATGCGCTTTCAGAAAACGAAGCCGTCTTGATCAGGTGAATGGCTAGTGGCGTCCTAGTGGACAATCACTTAAATGTGAACCAGCAGTATGTGTCAGCAACCAAAAAATCCAATGCAATCCTAGGTTAACAGAGGGATTGATCATGGTATTAGTACCACTTTATAAAGCCTTAGCAAGACCACATTTAGAAAAATGCATCCAATTTTGGTACCATATTATTAAAAAGATGTTGAGACTCTGGAAAGAGTGCAGAAAAGAGCAACAATAATGATTAGGGGGCTGGAGGCTAAAAGATGAACGGTTGCAGGAACTGGGTATGTCTAATCTACTGTAAAGGGGGACCAGGGATGACGTGACAGCAGTGTTCCAATATTTGTGGGGCTGCCACAAAGAAGAGGGATCAATCTATTTTTGAATATAGCTGTCCTTATGCATCAATGAGCTGACTAGTATATGCAATGTGATGTTAAAAAATAACATTTCATTTTGCTGTTACAGGATAGTTAAACCTCTTAATAAATTTGTACTTTGAAACCTGTTTCATTTAATTGAGAATGCCTTCTTAAATTCCAGAGATTAAGTGTCCCAGAATGTTTAAATGATTCATCGTTATAAATTGCCATTTTCTGTTGCCATTGGAGAATTGAATCCAGCGTTTCCTTCTGACCACTCATTTGCCACATTGGATCATGGGGTTGGACCATGACTGCAATGAGGACGGGACTGGACTTCTCTCTGCTGAGTTCTCTCCATCTAAAAGACACTGGTGTGCAAATCCAGTTTATCATTCAGTGCATTGGGCAAAAGATGACTTAACCTTGGGTACATAGCTATATGAATCTACAAAGAGGAGTGATGAGTGTGTGAAGCAGTTGTACTTCCATTCTCCACGTTAGCTTAAGTGGTCAGGGAGGAAGAAACAATATGACAGGGGTCCATTATATCTCTTATACTCTAACATTTATAACAAAGTTTCTGAATGAGGACATTTCAAGAATTTGGAATTATCGTACCAATCATTTGGTCTCAAGGTATTTAACACTATTTCTCTGGGTCAGCACAGACTACCCTGCAGATTCAGAAGTGGTATCTAGATTTGTAATGATCTGGATAAGGGCCAATAAACCAAAACTTCAAATGGTCTTAGTGGCATGGATAATATTGGTCATGGTTATTTTGCAACAAAAATTATCTGGCTACAGTCATCCATGCTCTCATCATTGCCACAATGATGACTTAGAAAGTCTGTGCAGGATGTTGAGTTGACCCTACAGTACAGTACAGTACAGTACAATTCATTCAGACATTAAAAAAATTCCAATGAGAAGAATTGTACTGTTGCCTTATTTTGCTTTTTCACTTCGTTTAGGGTACTATTTCTTTCACTTCTAGCTCTTGGGAACAACTTTGGAACCAACTTGTCATGCCAAGCCATGATTTAAGCACTTCCAAAATGGCACTGTTCCAAATCCCTCCTATGTGGGAAGTGCTGTTTTAAAGAAAAGAACTTCACTCTGGGAGAAGCTCAGTTTGGGAACATTTTCTTCCTCAAAAGATTCAGCAAGTAATGCTTACTTTATAATCTTTTCAGTCTCCAGATAAAATTAATCTGTATCCAGGCATATATAACCTCACTCTGGCTTTAGCATTGTACTTGTTGCTGAAAATTTAATTGCTGCTTTTAATCATGCCTACTGAATACTTCTTGTACCATTATTTGTTTTTTAAAATAAATTATTGTGCTTGTGCATTATGTTACCAATTATTCTGGTATGACATGATGAAGGTTGTAGACATATTTTAAATGGGCAGGGGCATCTGCTGATAAAAAGTATATAGTATTGTGGGTCCAAAATCCATCCCACACGTAGCAGAGAAAAGCCAAGGAGTAGGGGTGGAGGTAGGGCCGAGTGAGGGACTTCTTGGCTGGGATTCCCTCCAGTATTTTCCAGACTTTTCTAGCACTTTGAAAGGATTGTTGTTTAATATGAATTACTGCATTTATTTCAAAATTTCATTAGCAGCTCTTAATTGTTATTCCTTTATAAACCCATGAATCAAGATATATGTGTGTGTGTGTGTGTATTTATAAATTTAAAACTGAAACGGCTGTGAAAGTCTGACTCACAGACGAACACAATACAGAAGCCTGATGATGGCAGATGAGATTCTGCCGAAACGTTGCTACAACTTTAAAAGCACAACTACTATGACGTGGGGAAATACCCGAACAAAGCTGAATACCATATATATATATGTGTGTGTGTGTGTGTATGTGTATGTATGTGTGTGTGTGTGTGTGTGTATATCTATATATATCTATATATATCTATATCTATCTATCTATCTATCTATCTATCTATCTATCTATCTATCTATCTATCTATATAT